GTTGAATGTGTCCTTCATGCTTGCTACATTCTATCTTTGAAAAGTTCTCCTATACTATAGTCAAATCACTCCTATTTTTTTCATTGTTTTTTTTCTTTCTTTCTTTTCTTTTAACCTGTGCTGTCTGAGTTCTTTAAATCTTGCTGTTAGGCATTCTCTCCAGTCTATAAATGGTTTCTGTGTCTGCAGCTTCCTTGTGTGATGTAATTCTTATGCTTGCTGATTCCAAATGATCTGCTTTGTACTAAGGAATATAAAGAAGTAATATAAGCAGTGGTGAAATAAGCATTAAGCAGTCTTAACTGAGGAATCTTTGGGAGGTGCTTGTGCTTTTTTTGTAAAGGAGTTGCAGGGAGAATCCATTTCCTCATAAAATCAGATACTCTGGGCTGAAGTTTACCTGTAGCTGTTACAGAAAAACCATGTTGCCTAACTGGAGATGGAAAAACAGTTCTTCTAACCTGTTGCCTCCTCCCTTCCCTCCTGGAGGAACGTGTACCTCTGGAGAAGGTTGTTGAAACAGCAGTGCAAATCTCTCCTGTGTGGGGCTGCGCTGTCTCCAGCACAGCTGGATGGCAGCTTGACCACACCTTTGGCTCATGGTCTGAGGAGAGAGTCCAAATCTGCAGCAGGTTGGGATGTTTCTAAGCCAGACCCCATGGATTTTAAACTTGTACAGATGAAAAAGGCCCTTCTTGGATTCTGCTCCTGTACTGATGAAGATAAGGGACTTCTGTTGACTGTAGCGCATTCAGGGTTTGCTCCAGAGGTGTGCAGGTGAATGCTGATATTTCCAGATGAGGCTGGCCCTGCTGGTGAGACTGAGCTTGGTGCATTTGTCCTGAAGTTTCATGAATATGTCAGTATTTAAATGCTACTTCTTGCAGGTTTAAGAGTTATATTTTTTTAAAAAAATTTTTTGGCCTCTCAGCATCAGGCTTGTAGTTGTTGCTCTTTATGTTAGTGAATGAAAGGGGCAAAAAAGGCCTGATTTCATTCCACCTACACACAGGCATGTGCATACACACTGCATGTTTATATTAGAAACCACACATAAGAATTCCTTCCTTTTGGAGTCTTTATGCTAAAGCTGCTTCTAAAAGCTAGAAAAAAGAAAAGAGATTCCTGATTTGCTTGTGTCAGTAAATGTCTGAAGTTAAATTAACTTTCCTTACAGATCTTTCAGCTCCTGGTCTGCAGCAACCTACGAGTACTGCATCTGAGCGACCCTATGGTGTGCTGCTCTTCCAGTCTCACACAGGCCTGCCCCTGGCTGGCAATAAAAACCTTCTGCCTCTGGCCACTGCTGTAATTTTGAAATGCCATGTCATTAGAAACTCAACATGCTCCTGTAATTACGAAGAATACCCATCAGGGATTCTGTGCCTGCTGGTGTGAGTGACATTCACCTGTACTTTGGAAAGAGGTTTATCTAAGAGCTTTTTTGGGATGAAACTACAATGATTTGTTTGAGAGTGATTGTCCTTTTAACTGTTCAAGCTGCTGCACACCATAGATGTGCTTGCTGAGCCATACTGCAATTCCATTGCAGTATGGGATTAGTAAGAACTGGGGTGATACAACACTGTTCTTTTGATCTAAGCAGAGTATGAAAACCTTTTTTTAAACAAAAAGGATGCTCTCTCTTCTTACTGAAAAATAAAAGCTGCAATTTATGTTAATGTATCTGTATACTAACACGTATACATGTGTATCTTACTTTTCCAGTGGTGTCTGTTGTCTCTTGCCCTCTGGCATTGTCCTCGTCTAGGTAAGAAAGACAGAAAGTCCATCCCCATGGTCTCCTAGTCCTGGAAAACAACAGCTCATGAGATTTTCCCCTTTTCTGATTTTTAAAACCATACCATCTCTTTCTTTCTCTGGGCTGTTAAGTAAGAAGCCCGCTCCCTGAGAGCTCTGCCACATCCATACATCCATCTGCGCTCCACTTCTCTGCTCCTCTAGTAGTGGTGTTTGACAGCAGTGTGCAGAATAGTTTCAGGGCTGCTGTGTGTTGGGGTCATGATGTTGCCCCATGCAGAACTCGTACTTTTGGAATACACAAAACTTGATTCTCCTTGCAGTTGCATTACTGCAACTGAAAGCAACGGCGCTGAAGGGCTGTGCTGCACCAAAAGGTGGGGAGAGAGAATTGAAACTGCTGGGAGGGTTGCAGGTTTATTTGCTACAGTAAGCCAGGATCTTCTATGCACTGAATGAAGAGTGGGCATTGTTGGAGTCGGATTCCTGCCACCCTGATGGGGAGCTGCAGTCCCTGGGCTCCCTGGTTGCTGTGATTGACTGGGACTTGACTGCTGCTTCTCAGCATGACTGTGAGGCTTGCGTAAATGATGTCTTCGCTGTTGCTATTTTTCTCTACGTAAGTCTCAGATATTTTGTATTCAAAACAATTGAAGGGATGTGAGTATCTCACTACTGGGGGCACCACATACATCAGGGGAAGGTGAAGCCATGAGTTATTTTCTCTCCTCGGGGCTGCAGTTACAAGTGAATCACAGTTTCCCCTGTGATGAAATGGGAAATAAATTGAAGGAGAAGTAGATATAGTAGAATAAGGACCCTTTTATTCCAACATAGATTGTCCATGAGTGGCATTTTTAGCTTTATCATAGTTCTTCCTTGGCTTTCACAAACAAGCCTTAAACCTCCTTGCCTTGCTCCTAAGAAGCTTCCTGAGGCCAGTATGGTATGTAGCAGTGAGTGGGCAAATGCTGTCCTTCATTCATGTGTTGTTCTGCAGCAGCCTTACATCTCACAATTTTGTTAGCCTGTAGCTAAAATGACATAGTTGGTTTGCACCAGAAATCCATGGCTAACTAAAGTGAAATAATATCTCTTCCTTTGTTCCTTCTATCAGGAGCATTGCGATGGGATCAGCCCAGTATGGAGAGCCCAGAGTGGGATTGAGGTGCCAGCAAATGCTCGTGTGTATTCCTGAAAGAGAAAGGATATGTGAGGTCAATACTGAGTCACTGGGGCTTCTAGGTGGCAACAGGAGGTGAAACATAGGAGAATGAAACCTGAGGAGCATTCAGAAAGTTGACAATGACAGGCTAGAATGGGGGTAGTTCATGTTGGGTGGGAAGATGTGTCTGTCTTGGCACTTCTGTGCATCTCACTCACCTACATGCTGTGCAACAAGTCTTTTACCAGCAGCTTGAGCATCCAAGTTGTGATAGAGTTGCCAGCTCAGAAATGTATTCTTTGCTTTTCTACTTTTCTACCACACCCTGAGTTTAAGAACTGTCTTTATATCACAACACTTTGTATGTATACTTGGGCCAGTATTTTCTAGCTAGTAACAACATTTTATTTATCACTACGCTCATTTCCTCTTACTTAATTAAAACAACAATTCTTTGCTGCATTTCTTTCTTCTGAGGAAGAAAGCAATGTTGACAGGCATCATCACAACTGATGTTGTAGCCTGTATTTGTGCCAGTTCAACAAAGTTTGTCTGCAGCCAGTAGAACTCAGATGTATTGTTTTAGAATTTTTTGTTTGTTTTGTTTTGTTTTGTTTACTGTCATGGTGCTCATAATAGATGTTTGCTTGTTTGTTTGCTTTAACATTTGTTGCAGAACAGTGTGTTTGTACTAGAAAAAGAATTGTAGTCCTTAGACCCTGGGGTGTCCCTTCTGCTCGTTTGGCAGAGGACATACTGCACCTAAAAGGCTGGCCAGGCTGTTAGTCACTATTATTTCAGGAAATAAACTGAACAAGCCTTCAGCAAAGGATGGGGTGACTCAAGGGCTACTGAAAATAAAGCTGCACTGTCAGCTGCAGCTCTGAATCAAAGGATGCTTTATGGAGGTAGGGACTGGTCTGTATTTTAAATAGACTGTTTCCTGCATTGGACACCACTCTGTGCACGTCAGGGTGTGGCTTTGTGAACATCGCCTTCTCTCCTGTGCCTATCTTAGCTGGGATCAGCAGCAGCCTTTGGGGAGGAGAGCTGTGCTGAGCCTGCGCAAGTAGATCAGAGAGAAGGATCTGCGATCGGAATAACAGTGTTGGCATCAGAGCTTTTCAGGCATTATCTCTGCTGTTCTGGTGAGAGCCAGGGGTGTATCATTAGCTCTGTTACAGCTCATCCCAGCCCAGAACACTGGTGGTTTGCTCACTGTTCTGCAGCAGGTCTGTCACACAGCTGAGAAGGCAGATCTTTTCTGTGATCCATTTACTAGAGGGTTCTTGCTACTTCAGATCAGTTTGCAGACGTTGGTGAGTGCAGATAGAGAGAGGTTCTAACCTGTACATGGTTGGGGCTTTACCATCTTTTGGTCATCCTGTGGCAGTCTTGGGCTGAAGCCCTAACTTCTCAGAAGTGCTCTAAACTCATGTCTCTAACCACAAGCCTTTAGGAACTCGCTAAAAGTGTGTCCAAGGGTGCTGTGTCCAAAAGACTGGTGGAACTGGGCCTCAGGGAACTTGTGGCAACTACAGCAATTAATTAAAAGGGAAAATAAATTGAGTAAGATGATAGTATCCAACAACTTCCTCTGCATTGAATGGTGATAAACACACCTATGTCCCTCATTTAATTAGTCAAAATGAGCGGATCACTGTCTAGTGCTAATTACAGTGCCAGCCCCTAATGCTGCAAGAGTATTATCACTGTGAGCAACTTTCTCAAATGCAGGGGCTTGCCAGTATGTGGGCAGCAAAGGGGTGCCCACTCCCCATTCCTATGGGGTGAGCCTGTCCCTGGAAATCTTTGGTGGTGGTCGGCCTGGGGAGAAATTCAGTGGGCTGAATTTCTTCAGGAGGGCCTGCTCTCTGCTGTCCCGTTGCTGCATAAGGCTGGGGAAGGTGACATTTGCTGGAGAATGCAAAGAATGTAGAGAGCTGGCGGGAGGGGAGACCATGCAGTCTGAATGGAGAAACCTGTTTGATTCCCCTGAAGGGCAAAACACACCCAAGTCTCCTCCTCAAAACAAGGCTTGGCTTCCAGGAGCCAACCCTCTCGGCCCGCCTCACCCACAGTTGCCTCGCTGCCAGGGAGGATCGGAGGCACCCGCTGCGAACCCTTGGGGGGCAAAGGCTCTTGGAGACTGATTGCAGACTGCTCCGCATCTGTCTTTAGAGGGAAGGCTGCAGCTGCGAAGCCTCCGCAGGTAGGGATGGGCAGGGAGCCTGGTTCTCTGAACTCTGCAGAGAGTATCTGGGGTGCTTCTGCAATCTGTGTTTCCCCTGCCTGCTCTGTATGAGGAGGAAGAGGACTGACATCTCCTAACCTGCTGATACAGGGATCTGGCAAGGATGAGGGAAGCTCCTATTGAAGACTCCTCTCAGAGAAGGAGGGAAAGCTAGCGTGTTGGTCCCAAGTGTGGATATAAAATGATACCTAGATACTAAAAAGGTGGTATTAGTATAGATACAAAAGTAAGGCAGAACTGAAGGGTTTGGATAGGAGGTTCTGCTACTTGCATTTGTCAGGTCACCGAGTTCCCTCTCTGCCCATCTATCTTACTAAAATCTGTCCCCTTCGTAATTTGTAAGGTGTAGTGGGGGCATGGCAGCAGGGACAAGACTGCACAGGCAGGAGGGATCAGCTGTGTAGGACAGGTATAAAATTTGAGCCTGTGACTCTTAACAGCTTCTTGAGAGGCTTGGGGTCAGCTGCCATGTTTGCACCATACCTAACCTTCTTCCCCCAGACCTGCGTGTTTCAGAAAGAGATGCAGGTGGAGACCTTTCTTTCTCTGTTCTTCTGTCTTGTTTTGTTTCTCTATGAGTCAGTTTGAAATCAGCACCCTGGAAAGGAAAGGATGGGAGTGATGAAGCTGTGGCAGCCGGTGAGGGAGGTGAACACCTCTCTCAGTCCTTCATACTTTCTACCTGGAAGCCTGGTGAACATGTTGACCATTTCTCCATCTCTACCCCTCTGCTCCAGGACAAATCCCAGCCAGGAGCATGAGCTGGCTGCAGCTGGACAGATTGCTCAGAGCAGTGATGTCCTCCTGCATCAAATTGACTAAATTGTGGAGCTTGTACTTGGACTGATTTGTTCCACTCATCCAGCCAAAGACAAAATACTAAATTTTATTAAATCCCAACATTATTTAATTTAAAGTTCTGACCACCAAAAAAAAGTGAGTTTCAATTTTCTTTTTTAAAACCTTTTTTTTTTGATCGTGGTGAAACTTTGTAGCATCTCTGAAATGTCACAAAGCTTCAATGGGACGTTTTTGTCCTGCTCTGTTTGTGGGTCTGTGATGCAAGTGCCAAGCAAAGTGTCTTTGAAAGAAAGGAACTGTTCCTTCCTTTTTGCTTTCATCTTTAGACATCAAGGCATAAGGTCGATGCCATGTGGGTGCAGTAAACACCATCCACATCCTTCTTCCTTTTCAAATACAGAAATTAGTTGAGCAATTAAGAATTAATACCTTGCAATTAGAGTAATGAAACTTCATACCAAGTGAAAAATTATTCAGTAATTTTGGACAACAGAAGTGAATGGCTGTGATGGGGATGGGCATGCTGTGCTCCTAGCATGGAAGGCCCCAAAATGATTTCTCAAGATGGGCAGGGTTGTTGTAGCTCCACCTAAGTTCACACCATGCTTTCCCAGCTTCAGTAACTCATATGTTTGCCAGCTTCATCTGGTCAGACTGAAATTTTTCTATGTGGGGTATGTGGTTGCAAGTGAATTAAAATAAATGAAAATTATGCATTCGTGGCTTGAGAGCACTTGTCTCAGGCACAGCTGAAACGTGTCTGTCCTTCATGTTGGAGCTCTGTGCAGGCTTCCCCATGACAACTGTTGGTCTTTATTTCTCCTTTCCTCATGCCTGGGGGGGAGGAGATGTTTACTGTCCCCAGGTACAGGTGACCAGGATCTGAAGGAATTGCAGTTGGTCTGAGACTCTTCACAAAAATCCTCCACATCCAGTGGGCTCAGCTCCTGTGATTCATATTCAGGGCCATGTCAGCCACTCTGAGGAAGGTGGGGACGCAGTTAATGACGGCGGTGTGGTTTAAATTGTTTGAATGGCATCACAGAAGGGTTGCGACAGAGGCATAAAATGTCACCCGCAGTGGAGTAACCATCCTGGAGCACCTCTTCTGTGAAGAACAGCTGAGAAACCTGGGGTAGTTTAGCCTGGAGAAGAGAAGGCTCTGGGGGAACCTGGTTGCATCCTTTTAAATATCACCTAGGCTTTAGCGTTATGAGCCTGTCTGCTCCTAGGCAGTTTGCGTGATTTTTATCTGTGTTTGAAAGCCTCCAGCCACCCTGTTGCTCCTAATGCAGAGCCACTGTCGTGACATGCCAGATGTAAATGGAGTCCAAGTTCTGGAGCACGCTTCAGGCTGGTGGCCTGGTCCTTCAGGGACAGCTGGCAGCCACCATCACCCAAGCACTCAGGTACCTGTGGATGGGGTGGGGTGAGGTCCTACACTGCACATTATGAGTTTACAATGTGAATCCAGAAGTGTCACTTATTTCCCTCAAGGGCAGACAGAAGGATGGAAGCTGTCCATCCTTCCCAGACATGGAATATCATTCAAGTGAGAGTTCAAGGGTGAAATAAACGGTAGTTCTAGCAATGCTGCCTCAAGAAATATCACAGCTACTGGGCACAAATTGCTAACTTAGTGTAAACTTTCTTTGCTGGATCCAACTTGCTGAAAGGGTTTTAAAGGGTTAACTTTATTCTGGCAGGTTTTATGCTAGATCAGGCACAGTCTGTCCACACTGTCCTAACTTCATAGCAGATCAGGTAACAGCTGACATAAAAGCATAACACTGGCACAAGGTTTGCATTGTGTGCTCTGGCTAATGCAAGAGAAATGCAAGTATGTGCCCACGCCTAATCCAGATCACTGGAGGGCAGTCTGAGAGTACACAGACCTGGATTAGCAATCCTGAAAATTGGATACTGCCTTTCTGGGGCAGGGATCCTCACAGCTGAGTGTAGGCTGTGTGGAGAAGCATTTTCTCACTGGCTTTCCTTTCTGTAAGTTTCTGTAAGTTCATCTTGATCTGCTGAGTGTTGATCTGAGGTGCCATATTTCATCAAATAACGGGTTGGAGAATAGGCACTGAGACTGTGATTTAGATCTAGATAACAAAATCCTCAGCAAAGTTTGAATAAAGTTCCAGTTCAAGTCTTTTGCAAGCTTTAAATGCCTCCTAGTTTGAGGATAGTGATAGTCAGAAGGTCAGGATGTGCATCAACTATCATTAAACTATGAGACTCTTCTTCATAACTGCCCTCCAGTTTGCAGCTGATTCTGGCATGAGTATACAAGTTTCTATCTGGTGAAATTAGTTCTGTACTTTTTTGCCTATGCAGGAGAATGTGAGAGATTGCTTAGAAGGAAACTGGACAGCATGGATAGTGCTGAAGGAATGACAGGGCTGAAGGAAAATAACACTAGCTTGAACAGTTTCTTGTCTATTAATGGCTTTTATGTTGAAATCCTAAGAGTTTGCCTCCCTGTTGCATGGACTCAGTAAGCACCACAGGACTCAGCTATGGGGTCTCTGCCCAGAAGGTACAACAGGACTTTTCAGCTTGCAGCATCTCATGACTCAGCTGTTCTGGGGACCAGCACAGCAAAGTGACATTGGTCTCGGGACAGGGTGTCTCTTCAGGGAACCAGAGGGCTGCAACATGAACTCGGTGGTTGGCCTGGGCTGCGCGGACAGGTCAGGAATCTAAAGGCACCCTGTGGTGCTTTCCAGGAAAGCTGTATTTACAGGATCAAAGCAGCTCTGCTTCCTTTCCCAGGGCAGTCATTTAGCCCTCAGAACTAACTCCAACGTCGGATCCAGCTCATCACCAAGACGGAGGGCAAGGTGGCTATTAGGTGCAAAGGGGCTATTAATGCAAGTGCCCTACAAACTCCTGACAAAAGCAGGCTGAATATTTGTTATTAACATTTTAAATTTGAAGTTGAGCCATCAGAAAGGGGGATGGCTGGTAAGTTTTTTTTCTGTGTGTTTGCAGGTAATAGGAGCTGCAGTCAGCTGTTAAAGAATAGCAAGTGTTTCATCTCCTGAGGTATAATTACATCTTTTTAAGTGGCTTATGCAGAAAGCAGAATCATTCCCAATTAAGTGAAGGGCTGCTGATTTCTGGCACTTGGAGAATTTATTAGCAAAGAGTGCTGTTCTGGCTGTACATTTGCAGAGGACTACATGAGTAGGCAAAGGTCTATCACCACCTCCTTTCTGCTGCTGCTGAGGACCAGCTGCAGCCTCTGTGGCTCTGAGGACGGCAGTAGACATGGGGATGGATGAGCACAGGCTGTGATCTGTGAAGATCACTCCTTGCTGGGGGTGAGATTGAAGTTTGTGGTGTGGTGTGGGAGCAATTTATTAGTTCCTCTGCTGGTATCACTGATGGTGCTTGCTCTCATGGTATGTCACCCAGCCGTGGCAGCCAAACTGAGGTCTGGAGCTTGTTCCACCTGCCAAGCCAAGGATTTTCACTAGGAGCTGCCCTCTGAAACACTGCTGAGAGGAAGAGATCACATCTCACTAGCACCAGTGACATCCCTTGCAACTGCCTTAAAACTCAAAGCACCTCGAAATACCCAAGGCAGGGACCACTCCAACACCTGGATGCCTGCAGAGAGTGAGCTGAGCTGGCTGGCTGCCTGCAGACAGGCACACCCTGAAGATTAAAATCTGAACAAGGTTTCAGGTCCCTTTGCCTTATTAAGTAGCTTGTAATTACTTTCATTCACGTGATGAGGAGCTGCAGAGGCAGTCTTCATGCCCTTCTTGCCATTCAACTGAATGTTGTCTGTCCATTCAGCTTCATAGCAAAACTTCTTTTTGTACCCTGGGATTTCTGTATTTTGCTCATGATTTTCAAAACTGTGGTTGTCCAGAATCTTGGTGGCACTCTGCCTGAGAACATTAGGGTCTTTGTAAAAGTCAATGTGGATTTATATAGCAGTTCCATTTGAAACATGCAGTCTTAGGACAAGTGTACTAATAGCATTTTGGTAGAATATTTATTTCTTGTGCTGGAGTGCTCATGTTGGATGCTTTGTCAGCAAGAATTTAAGCATCTGAACACCTGTTTTTATGGGTCAGCTGTTGGTGCGACATCCCAGTTGCAATCAGCACGTAGGCTGAGGGACTTTAGCTGACTGTATT